TAAATAGTAATTAGTAAGAATTTTATTAATGCAATTATAACTTTTATAATAAGCTTTAAATTTTGAAACTAAGACACGCTATTCAAGATCACATTTTCTTGATCTTTACTTAAAAATACTTCAATAAATAAGAGATGTTTACTAACGAGTAATAATTTTAAAATTATTTAACAATTTAACTTCAACTGAAAAAAATAATCAAGCTAAAAAAATTGCCAAATCTATTTCAATAATATTTAATCATCAAATAACAGCTAAAAGTTTTCATTTAGACAATAATTCTAATTTAAAATCAATTGAATTTAATATTAATGATATTTCTTTTTGCTTTAGTTTTAATGAGAAGAAATAAAGTATAAAGCAAGAACTGTTATTCAAGCATATTATAAAGGTCAGATAACATGTGAAAGATATCAGACTTTAGCTTCAATTAGTCAAGATCTATCACGCAAATGGAAAGTTTCTATAGAAAAGAAAGAGATTATATATAAAATAAACAAATTTATACTAATTTCTCTTATAAATATAATACTATTATAATTTAATAACTATGTAAATTTAGAGATACATATTAAAGATACTGAAATTATTGATAATTTATAATAATCAATTGAAAAAAGTGAACGATAAGAAATTGTTGATATTTAAGATATCTAATACCAGATCATCTTAAAAGAAATGTGTTAGATATAGCAAACCCTATTATATATTTACGAATTTCTAGTGATAGTAAAAATATTAGATGAAAGGTTAAATAAGTTATAGTTACTTGTTCAATACTTAATAAAATTGATAATATATATTGACCTGAAAATTATTATACCATAATCTTGTATTCTGATATTGAAAATATAAGATTTAAAATTGTTTTAAAACTATTAATTATGAAATTAAAAAAAAAAAGTTTTAGAGATAATTAGAATATTAAATGGAAGATTAAGTTATATTTTCATCAGACTGAAAATTTCTTGCTATTTATCTAGAATTAAATATGGCAAATAGTAAATATTTCTATCTATAATATGATGTATTTAAAGAACAACAATGTGATTTCTTATATTAATGAATAATTAATAAAAATATAGATCAAATTTATATAAATCATATATTTTATAAAGGTTATATTTGACCAGCAATTTTTAATGATTCTTTTATAAAATTGGATTCTATATGAATTACATATTATATTACACATCACAGATATTCTTTAACAATTAATAATTGATAAACTTAAATCTAGAAATATTTGAAAGATAGAGCAAGAAATGTAATAGTTAAAAAAATGAAACGTATTGATGTTAAATTTCATTTTTAGCTTGAAGTAGTATCAACAAATTGGCAATATATTTTTTTGATAGAACAAGATAAATTAATTGTTCTTTAACATTTAACATTTTAATTTAACTAAATTTTTTTCAAATTTATAAGTAATTTAAATCAAAGATTTGTGAAATAATTTTTATTTACTTTATAAAGCAATGAAAGATCCAAGAACTGATGCAAAACAATTCTCTAATGATATATATGCATGGTTATACTAATTTTTAAATTCTAATTATTTTTATTAAGTAGGTAATATTATACCTTGTATTAATATATCACATTTTAGAAATGATACATAATTTTGGTTTAGTAGTATTTTTCTGTTAGTGGTTGAAAAAAAACCATCAGCAAGTTTCTTATTTTTTTTTAAAAAAAACAACAAAAATGGTGGTATTAAAAAAGAAAGAAAATATGCAATTGTAGATATTCTTAAGTATAAAAACAGAGTTTTATATTTTAATAATTATAATGAAATTAATTTAATTCAATTGTCAAAACATTTACGTGTTAAGTAATATTCTAATAGAATAAAATAAAATTTTTATATTATTTTATAAGGTTATAATAAATTTTTCATATTAAAATTTAATCATTAACTTTATTTTTGCATTTTTATATACATGTTTTTTAATCTATATGCTAACTTCTATTTTCATCTATAAATTTTTAATAACTCTTATACGCAAAATTGTAAAGTTTATAAAAATAAACCATGATGAATATACAATATTATGCATATTTGACTTTTCTTTTTTTTTCAGCCAATAATAATTTATATAGGTTTCAGTTTACAAATTTGTTGTTTTTTAACTTTAATTATTGATATTTGATTTTGAGAAGGATCAAATTCTTGAAGTGGATCAGGTTCTTGATATTTTTGAAATAAATTTGATTCTAGAAGAGGATTCAGGTCATTTAGATTTTATGATTGTTGATATGATACAAAACATCTATACTCATCAAGGAGTTTGAAATTTTTTTTATTGATCTTCATGTGACTTAACCACGTAAATCAATTTTTATTAGTTAAAAGATAATTATCTAATTAATTTTAATTTTATTTAATTTTTCTAAAATACTATCTAAAATTCTTCTATGAGATTTGTATTTCTTGACAGCATATTTCACCAATTTTCCATTAATACCTTTTTTATAAGCATTCATATAATGTCAGCACTTTCTTACAAATTTTCTAATTATAACTAATAGTACAAAATTAAGACTTTTAGATACTACTTGCTGTAATCCATTTCATGAATAATTGCAATTTTCTCTAGTATATCTATTACAATATCTTTTAATAAAATTTAGTTCACAATGAAATTTGGAATAAAAAATACATTTATGATTAGCTTTTTCAATTAATTCTTCAATTGCTTCTTTTTGTGTAAGAAATTCAGATTCTAAAGATATTACTTGACAAGCACAACAAGAAATTCTTGAAAAATCTTGAATTTTTTCTTTACAATTTTTACATTCTAATATTAATCCTTTAAATAACTATTTTTCTCACTCTATTAATACTTGTTTGATTTCTTTAGGCTGACCTCAAAGTTTTTTATTAAAATGAGTAGCTGAAAATACCATTGATTATGGCTATTGATTTGATCCAAAATAAATATCATATACAGGTCGAAAAAAGAAAAACTGGGTAAAATTCATGAATCTGATATTGATACTAATTAACACTGATTTTGTTTTAAATTAGGTTTGATATGTATGTATAAATTTTAACTGATTTTTAGTGCAGATCAGAAACTTTCAGTATTAATTTTGGTAAAGTCATACTAGATGAATTAATATGAATATTAGTAGACAAATCGAAATGTTAATATTTCCCGATATGTATAAAATATCCTATTAATATTAATATTTAGTTTTTTGATATTTCTTGTATATTCAACAATAGGCATATAATATAATTTTGATATTTGTATAAAATTTATTTGTTTACATTAAATGTTATTTAATATTAAATATTGCAGTCATTAATAAATAAAAATTTTTCCAATAATATAATACTATAATATAACGTTTTTAGAAATGTAATACAAATTCCAATCATATAATACTAATCAATTGCTTGCTTTGCTGAAAATATAGAACTTTAAATATAACTATTTATCCAGAATGATATGAATTTGAAATAGTTCATTCTGGTACATTGCGAGGTAATATAGAATCATTTTTTACATATAATTAGTCTTCATATCACCTTTTTCTCGTAACTTTTATATTTTGAATACTATCTCCTATTAAATTAGCATGTTACAAAAGTTTTTAAACTTAAAATAAATTTTAATTAATAAAATGTAAAGAAGATTTGTTAAAAGTAAATTAATTAAAAAAAGCTTTAATTTAAATATTTAACTTACTCTATTAGACCTTTATTATTTATTATACATATGAAGTACATAATTTGAGCTTTCTTTTTATGATAGATGAATATTTCTATCCTTTTCTTCTTGTACTTTCTCGATATCAGATTCAGAAACTTCGTCTGAATGATAGCCTGAATTGCCAATAACCCTTTTTAAGCCTTCAATCTAATTATTCTATGGTATCAGAGATTGTAGATCTACAAGTATCTGATCTTTATTTTTTACTATATGCTAAAATTCTCTTTAACATCTTTCTTTCTTCTTTTGTAATAGAATAAATAAGTAGTATTATCGCAAATTAAAATATAAATTTATATCAATTAAAACTAATATTTATGTCTTTTTTTCTGATGTTTATACCAGTTCTTTGTTTGTTTACCTTCAATTTTAGAGGATTTATTGAAACAATATATGTATCCCTTTGATGACGATGAAGATTCTGTAAAACTTTCTTTATTTCTATATCAGTATACTAAAATTTAGGACTGAATACTTTCTTTATAGCTGGAATGGTATTTTAAATTATGTTCTCTTCAATATCTGTCTAACGATTTTTATAGTCTATTGTTAAAGATTTGTTTAAGCTCTTTAATATTTGTACAATATTATCCTACAATAAAAAGTAAAATTAAACAAATAAAATAATTAAACTTCCTTTAATATTCAATTAGCTTATACTAACCCAGAATGATTTCTTATATTCGTAATTCATCAGTTCTAAAGCTCTTCGGGCTTTATATAATAGGCCAGAAGATGAAGAATATTGTGCTCTTGTTTGATTTTTGTGACTACCAAGAGTTTCCTTTTCATATCGTAGTTCTCACAATTCTCTTACTTCTTTTGCTAAATCTGTAACATCTGAATGTAATTCTGCAATTTCTAATAAAAAAATATTAGTCTAATTGAAATAAAAATATTATTATGAAATTACCTTTTGATCTCTTTCTCTACTTTCATTTCTTTTATGATTTTCTTCACCAATACCCTTATATTCTCTTTCTCTTATATTTAAAGTAATATTTTCTTGACGAGAGTATGGAATTTGACCTCTATTCCTATTTAGTAATATACCTTCTTGTTTTTGACTAGAGGATGGGGTTTAATTTTTATTTCTGTATAATAGAGAGAATGGAGTTTGGCTTCTATTTCTGTTTAATGGAGAGGATAGAGTTTGATTTCTGTTTTTGTTTAATGAAGAGGATGGAATTTGACTTGTATTTTTGTTTAATGAAGAGGATGGAGTTTAACTTGTATTTTTGTTTAACGGAGAGTATAACATTTGACTATTATTTCTATTTAATAAGGTATCTTATTGATAAGAGTGTGAAATATCTTCTGGATATGGAATATCTCTGGGTGTGAAATATCTTCTAGGTGTGGAGTATTTTTCCAATAAGAGTATGGTGTTTGATTTCTACCTTTTTCTTCTTGCAATGAAGTTATTCTATTATAATACTAAAACAAAGTTTAGAATTTTGTAGTCTCATCTTTAAAAAAAAATTCTTTTACTTACTTGTATTTATTCATCGTTATAGAATAAAGAAAAATATCAAATAAACTAAAAAGGGTAAAAAGAAGAAAGAGTTTAAATTAGATAAAATAATCTTAAGTAAATCTATATATATGCAATAAATATAATAAATTAAACTTTACACCAATTACAATACAATTTATAATAATTAAATAAATAAAAATTTTCTTTTACATTTTGTTAAAATGTTTTATAAATCTAACACTCAAAATGTTCAAAACTCCTTATACTCATCCTCCTCAAACTCAAAAATTTGTATCATACTATTATAAGGTTGTAAAGAAAATTTAGTAGATCCAAGGACTAAAGTAACTCATACTAAATATACAATTGCATCTCAACAACAAGAAACTGCTACTAGTTTTTCTGAAGCACCAGAAGTACCATTAATTAATTTAATACCTTCAGGTCCACAAATTGATATAAACTATAATGAAGAATCATAAGAAGAATACTCATATTTAATAAAAAAGATATCAATTAATTTTCAAAGAAAAAAAACTTCTAAAATTTTACCTCTGGAAATAATAAATGAAATATTTTCTGATGATAGTGATAATGATACACTTGAAGAAGATAATAAAAGAGACTTTGAAGATAATATTTCAGAATATTCATCTGATTATTTAGAGAAAAACAATCAAGTGAATTTCAATGCTCCAGAAGTAGAATTAGAGAAAAACGATTTTAGATATACTGAAGAATTAAACAATATCTTTTTATGGATCGTTGTATAGATCTTAAAGTATCAAGAGAGATTTCAATTATCTAATGTAGCTACAAATTCTCTCTTTAAATTTTTTCGCTATGTTCTTGTTAAGGTGGAATAAAGTAATATTATTGATTTTTATATCCCGGCTGGATTAACAAAAGCGGGATTTAGAATTTTTTTTTTATAATTTTTTATTATTGATCAATAAAAATGCTGCATTTGATATCACGTGATTAGGATTGTACGGCCTTCTGATAATCAATATTTGAAATATTTTATTTAGCATTTAAACACAGTTACAAGAAATTTAGGAAGAGTTAATTAAGTCTTCGCTTTCCTTTGTCTTTACCACCCTGTTTTTATTGTAGACGTTTCTTTGAAACAGTGGTACTATTATTACAACCATTACAACGTGAAAGCTTACCTTTTGCTGGTTTAGTAACGTTTAGGTTTCTGCATTCAATGCAAGTATCTGGGTAGATCCCAGCTGAATAATATAGTTTCTCAACTTGTAATGCATAAGACCATGAGTCATTAACAAAGACTCTTAAAAACAATTTATGAATAGAATCCTTCATATTATTATCAGACTCTTCTTTTATAATATTTTTGAACTCTTTATCATCTGAGTCTTCATATTCGTATTGTTCATTTTTATCATAATCATCCTCCTCATCCATGTTTTCTTGATTATCAGCTTCTTTATCATGACTAATCTTATCTTCCATATCATCATTTATGTCTGATCATTTTGGCAGTACAGCCACTGCAAGATCACATGTATTACAAAATAACATACCATAAGTGTAAAAAATTGTATCCAAGAATTCTCATAATATTGTCTTATCTTTTTCAAAAAGTTTTTTTGCACTAAACAAAAGGCGTGACTTTTTACACTCAACACAAGTTATAATAATACCAACATTCTTTGCACGTGCAGCAGTTAAGCAAAATGGCATATTATGTTTTGCTTTTTTAATTTTCATTTTGCCTTTCTTTGTTTTCATCTTAGCATCCTTAAGCGAAGGTCTATGATTTTCTGATGTTTGCTTACCATATAACTCTTCAAATGACTTGTAATGCAAGTCTTCTCCAGGTATTAGGTTTGGAAGATGATATAGTTGTTCAAAATCTTCTGGTGAGCAACGAGAAGGACAACAAATAATACAAGCTAATTCACCACATTTTTTGATTGAAAAAAAATAATGCCTTGTCGTACAATAATGGTTCAAGAATTCTTGCAAATGTGACTTTTAATAAAGATAAGTTAGTTATTTTCTCTTTTTTTGCATAAATAATTTGATCGAAACTTTACTTATTCTTCATTTTAAATGTTCTGCAGTACAGTCTTCATAAGTAACACTATCATCTACAAGCTGAATTGTTTCCCAAAATCTCTCCATTTCTGTTTTCAATGCTGTATTAAAGGTTTCAAAGAGCTCGCCTTTGAGAGACTGGCGGTTGAACACATCACTAATCAAACGAATTGGAGCTTGAAGACTTTCAATAAGATCTTTCTTTAAGTTAAAATTTTCTTCAGCAACCTTATGGATTTCACTCATTATACAGTCCCCGCCGAAAGTAATGGCGGTGGGGATATTAAATAATATTTTGGTCACAGTTTCTCCGGTGTTCCGA